CTCACTCAGAGCTTGGGAGAAGATGCCCCAGACGGTGGGCCCCAACCAGGGCAGCTTCAGTTCGCAGGCCTGGACCTTGGCCCCATTCACTGCCCCCAAGAGGAAAAAGTCCTCGCCTACCTCCTCGAATCGAGGCTCTGGGCCCCCCAGGCTTCTGCTCAGTGCCCTCTGCCTCCTAGCCATAGACAGCTGAGGCCCACCCTTCCCAGAGCCCCCAACCCCAGGGGTTGAGATAAATCTAGGGGCAGTTGGGAGGAAGATGGGCTGCAGGCATGGGGATGAGGTCAGGAAACATCCCGCCGGTGCCTGAGGTCATCTTGCATTCTGGGCCAATTCCCACTCTACCTCTGGTCAGTTCAGAAGATTTGATCAACCATGAGGTGCTTTAGCCAGGCGTGCTGCACACACCTGTGGTCCCGGCTACTCAGGAGGCTGAGGTGGGAGGATTGCCGGAGCCCGGGAATTCAAGGCTGCAGTGAGCTGCAATCGCACCACTGCTTTCCAACTCGGATGACAGAGTGAGACTCTCCCCGCCCCCACCTGTTAAAAAAAGAAAAAGATGCTTGTAATCCCAGCACGTTGGGAGGCCGAGGCAGGTGGATCATCTGAGTTCAGGAGTTCGAGACCAGCCTGGCCAAGATGGTGAAACCCCCGTCTCTACTAAAAATACAAAAATTAGCCTGGTGCGGTGGCGGGGCGGGTGCCTGTAATCCCAGCTACTCGGCAGGCTGAGGCAGGAGAATCGCTTGAACCCGCTAGGCGGAGGTTGCAGTGAGCTGAGATAGTGCCATTGCACTCTAGCTTAGGCTAGAGCAAAACTATTGTCTCAAAAAAAAAAAAAAAAAAAAAAGAAAGAAAAAAAAAAGAAAAAGAAAAAGAAAAAACCATGAGATGCCCTCCCTGCCTTGCTGGCCCACTGTGCTCCACTGCTGCCCGGGAGATGGGCATTGGCTCTCTGGAACCCTGGCGGTGGAGTCAGGAGTCCTCTCCCCAGTCCTCTCCATCCCCGAGGGTTGGGTCTGATCTTGGGCGGGAGCAGCACAGGCCTCCAGGGCTTCCTTCTCTCCTTTAAAAAATTCAGTGGGCTCCTGATAGCAGCCCAGACACCATCCTGGGTACTGCCCCTCCCTTCTTCCCCCCCCACCTGGGTCCTCCAGCTCCTGGGTGAGCAGCCAGGGCACTGTCCGAGCCACTGTGGAAGCAAGAGCCATGCCACTGCCCACTGTGTCCACTGCCTGGCTGTCCACACCCCCTGTCCTCCCACGGCAGAGTCAGAGGTCCCCTTAGGAGGCAAAGCCAGCCATGCCAAGCCCACCCTGGCGTGACCCACAGCCCCAGCCCCAGACTCCCTGATAAGGGCCAGAGGCTCCAGTGACCCCACACTACTGATCCCTTTAACCCCTCCCACACCTCCACCTCCTTTCTAGGTCCACCTGTCCCCCACCCCCACCTCCCTTCCATACCCACCGCTCCCCCACCCCTACCCCCAACCCAGCCCAACCCAAGCCTCCTTTCCATACCCACCACTCCTGCAACACCCACACCCACCCCACACCACCCTTAGTCTCCCTTCCATACCCCAATCCTCCCCCACACTCACCCCCAACACCCACCCCACCCCACCCTTCCCTTTCATACCCACCCCTCCCCCACCCCATCCCCAACCCACCCCAACCCAAGCCTCCCTTCCATACCCCACACCCACCCCCAACCCAGCCTAACCCAAGCGTCCCTTACATACCCAACCCTCCCCCGACACCTACCTCCAACACTCACACCCACCCCACTCCACGCACCCCCACTCCCACCCCACCAGACCCATGCCTCCCTTCCAAACGCCAATCCTCCCCACACCCACTCCCAATCCACCCAACCCCACCCCACCCCTCCCTTCCACATCCCAATCTTCCCCCACACCCATACCCACCCCTCCCCCACACTCACCCCCAACACCCACCACACCCCTACCCCTCCCTTCCATACCCACCCCTTCCCCACACCGCCCACACCTCCCTTTCATATCCCATCCTTCCCCTGCCACTCCCTCCCCCCCCCCACACCCCTCCGTACATCTCCCCTCCACACCATCAACCCTCACACTTCCCCTCCCCCACTCTCCCCACCACCCTCTGCTTCCCAGGCTCAAGGTGGAGGGGTCTGGGGAGAGCTGCTGAGCTCTTCTCTTTGCTCCTTGCTTTCTTGGCTTGGATGGTCCCCTTAAAACCGGTCTTTCACCCCCCACCGCAGGTGAGTTGCCCACTCCCCAGGCAGCCGCTCCCCCGCAGGGGTTAGAAGGCCCCATCCGCCTCCATCAGGGAGCTGAGCACTTGGGGTTGTCCCGGGCCCTGTCCTGCGGAGCCTGCAGGACACCTCCCCAGGCTGGAGCTGCGTGGGGCTGGGGACAGGATGAGGCTGTCACCGCAGCATCAGGCACCACCCCACCCTGAGGAGGCACTCGCAAGCTGACAGAACAGGGGCGGTGCTGGGGAGGGGACCTCATGGTCTTGTGGTCTCTACAGCTCCAGTGTGGCAGGTGCCGCCTCCATCACCCACGCCCCAGGTTCACGTTATTGCCATGGGCATTCGATGCCCCTGCTCACCTGGGTCCCGTGGGTTCCCAGCAGGTTATTTTGCCCACAGAGCGCCTCTTTCCCCAGGAAGGAAAATATAAATTTAAAAATGCACGCTGGTGTGGCCAGGCACAGTGGCTCATGCCTGTAATCCCAGCACTTTGGGAGGCTGAGGCGGGCAGATCACTTGAGGTCAGGAGTTCGAGACCAGCCTGGCCAACATGGTGAAACCCCGTCTCTACTAAAAATACAACAATTAGCCGGGTGTAGTGGCACATGCCTGTAATCCCAGCTACTCGGGAGGTGGAGGCAGGAGAATCGCTTGAACCTGGGAAGCAGAGGTTGCGGTGAGCCGAGATGGTGCCACTGCACTCCAGCCTGGGTGACAGAGTGAGACTCAGTCTAAAACAATAGCTACAACAAACAGCAACAAAAATACACGTTGGGTTGACCTCCTGGATGGCCCCTGCCCTGGGGTCTGCCCTCCCTCTGGCCTTACAGTGTCCCAGCCCAGGGACGGCAGGCAAGTCACCTCTGCCCTGTGAGGAGATCCCCCCACAAGCCTCCTTCCTGTGAACCTCGCCTCTCTCATCTAAAAAGCCTCACCTTCCTCATCTAAAAAACAGAAATCCCTCCCGCCTCGGATTGTTTTAGGGAATTTTTTTTTTTTTTTTTTTTTTGAGACAGTTTCCCTCTGTTGCCCAGTCTGGAGTGCAGTGGTGGGATCTCAGCTTACTGCAGCCTCAACTTCCCAGGCTCAAGCGATCCTCCCGCCTCAGCCTCCTGAGTAGCTGGGACCACGGGCAGGCACCATTACACCGGCTAATTCTTTTTTTTTTTTTCGGTAGAAAGCGGGTCTGGCTTTGTTGCCCAGGCTAGTCTCAAACCCCTGGGCTCAGATCTTTCCACCTCGGCCTCCCAAAGTGCTTGAATTACAGACATAAGCCAACCCACCCAGGCTGTTTTAAGGATTAGGTGAAAAAAATCCAACTAGTATGCCCAGCCCAACGCTTAGCAAACAGTAGGTGCTCAATCTGGATGGCGCCCTCTCCGTTTCTCTCCTGGGGCCGCCGCGGCCCCAAGCAGAGGCGTCTCCTTACCACCAGGGGGCAGTGTTTCCTCTCGCAGCTCCGAACGGGAGCCAGGAACTCACGGCGCTTTCTGGCGGGGCCTGGGGTCCCCGCGCTACCGGAGAACCGTCCCCCGGCACGGCAGGTCACATCCGTCAGAGGGGCGCCGGCCTCGGGGTGCTGGGAGGGGGCGTTCAGGGAAAGTGAGGCCGTGCAGCACAGGGGCTCCCCACAGGGGCTTTGGGGAGCCTGGCAGTCCCGCCTTTCAGACCTGGCCCAGCGCTTCAGGGCGGTGGCCTCCTGGAGTCTCCGTGTCCTCCTTGACGGAGCTGATGGCAGCCCATGGGCGGGGCAGCCCCGCAGGGAGGGGTGACTTGACCGGGGCAGGATTCGGGTGCTCCTGGCTCCCCTCGCCGGATGCCACCTTGCCCGCCCCAACGGGAGGCAGGAGGCTGCTGCTTGCTGTGTGATTAACACCCAGTCAGGGCGCGTTGGTGTCTGCGCCAGAGACCCTGTCCTGCCACACTGGCTCTAGACAGTCACCGGCAAGAACGCCCAGCGCGCTGGAGCATCAGTCCCGCTTGGGCAGCAGGGAACACCAAGAACGCGCAACCCAAGACAAGGTGCTGGGCGGAGCTGGTCAGACACTTCCATTTAATGACTAAAAATCACACATCTCAGGTCACGGGTCTAGGAGAAACCACACACACGCATACATAAGGATTCCACATCGAGGACACATTTGCAGTTTCCAAATCTTGAAGATAACCGAAGGGACCAGAATGTTCCTTTGAGTGACTGGTCACCCAAAGCTCCCGCTCCCCCACCCACAGCCCTTTGGAGGCACTCCAACTTTGGGAGGAGAAGGCTGAGCTTCCTGTGGGCCCCTCCCACCCACACCTGAGCCAGAGAGAAGACTCCCGCGAAGACATCCAAAGCCAAGGGCAAGGGAAGCGTCTGCCAGGGCAGAGGAACCAGTCCTGTCCTTGGCTCACCGAGCTTCCACCATACAGGAACCCAAGACTCCAGCCTCGCTTCCACAGAGAACTGGCAGGGGTTCCCTGGCCTGGCCATCACAGGGACTCACATGGGAGCCTTTTAAAACTCCAGATGGTGGCTGATCGCAGTGACTCATGCCTGTAATCCCAGCACTTTGGGAGGCCGAGGTGGGTGGATCACTTGAGGCCAGGAGTTTGAGACCCTCCTGGGCAACATGGTGAAACCCTGTCTCTACTAAAAATACAAAAATTAGCCGGGTATGGTGACACACGCCTGTAATTCCAGCTACTCAGGAGGCTGAGGCAGGAGAATCGCTTGAACCTGGGAGGTGGAGGCTGCAGTGAGTCAGATCATACCACTTCACTCCAGCCTGGGCAGCAGAGCAAGACTCTGTCTTGGAAAAAAAAAAAAAAAATACCAGGCCAGTATTGCCTCTAGATTGGCTGGGCCAGAATCTCTGGGGTGAGTCTGAAAAGTCTGCATTCTTAGCCTGGGATTCAGATGATCATTAGATTTGGGAATCTTAGAGTCTCTCTTCTGTCTTTTCACTGTTAGGAAGGGAGAGGGAGTGGTGTTTTTAATGCTCTGTTACTTTAGCTGAAGGATTTTCTGTGAGTCTTCACAATCTGTCTTGAAATGGTTCCCGTCAGTCACTTCATGCGGGAATCCAAGGGGCTAAGAAACATACACACACACATACACACACACACACACACGCGCGCACACACACACAGGCCCACTGGGCCCAGAGACCCATATGCGCAGCAGGCCGCCTGGAAATCAGGACTCAGGGCCCACCACAATCTGGAAGGAACACCAAGTCCCCAGGTACAGCTGCGGTGGCTCTTGGCCCATGGTCTGGTGGCCAAGGAGGTGTTAGCTGCTGGTCACAGGTGGCGGGCCGCTTCCCAGAGGATCTGCAGAGCCATGGAGGCGCAGGGGAGCTGGGCCAGGGTGTAGGTCACGGAGCGGATGGGTGCCCGCAGCTTCCCCAGGTAGGCCACGGTGTGCACCACACGGCCCAGGAGGAAGACCAGGAAGTGCATCCAGGCGACAAAAGGGTTAGGACCCAGAAAGGAGTAGACGAAGCCCAGGAAAAGGAAGGGGTAGATGGTCTCCATGTCATTCCGGTGGGCCCTGGGGAGACAAGAGGGGTATAGTCAGTCAGGTGTCAGCTTTGGGGCCATAGGCCCTTCTGAGAGTGTCATGGAAGCTGGGATGCTCTGCCCTAACAAGGCTTTGACCCACTGGGGGTCATTTCAGGCGTACCAGACACTCACATCCATTAATGGCCAGGTCAAGGAGATGGATACCCCAGAGTCCGGAGGAAGAGCAGCTCCAAGCTTATGCTTGCAAGCAGCTGAGGCCGCGAGGCCACGCCATGGGCTGGGAGTCACAGAGGGCTACTGGTCTAGGATGCTCTTACCATACCTCTAGGGCTTGCCAGGACCCCACCCCTGCCATACTCTCCCCCACCGTCCTCTCTAGCCCTTAGACACCAGGCAGGAAAAGTGGGACTCAGAGGTGCTGAGTGCTTTACAGAGCCAACGAGTGGAGAAGCTGGGATCAGTTCTGACTCGGGTTTGTGCTCTTTACCTCCAGAGCAGGACTTCTCTGAGTCAGGCCTGAGGTCATCCTCCTTCTGAATGCAGCTTCCTGGGCCTCTGCCGAGCAGAAGGGGCTAGAGCCCAAGAGCAGGCCTTTGACATGAATGCCGGGCTATGTCCCCTGCCCCTAAATCTAAGTACCACCCATCCTTTCAGGGACAATCATAACAAGATCCTTTTCCACTCATTGGCGTCAACCGATGACCAGCCCCCGGGGAAGCTCTTCATTTTACACATCATTTCCTGCCTCTTTTTTTGTTGAAAGTCATCAAGCATGTGCATTTGTATGGCGGGGGTGGGGGAGCTCTGTATAACCCCACCATAAATAAATGACCAAGAAAGAAAACGCACAAAACTCACCCTCTTCTGCTAAGAGCTGGTTCACATTTTCCAGACTCCTACTAATGGCCTGCTTCCTTTATGAAAGGTGAGGAGGTTGAGTCCCATAAATTAGAGACTGAATGAGCAACTAAACCCGTAGATTGCCACATTGGAAGCTCAAATAAACAGGAATTCAGTGCCCAGGGCATGACCTCCCCCAAGGACAGGCCACGCGTGTGAGGTGCAGGAACAAGAAACATGTTCTCCAGGCCTTCCTGCTGCCATGCGTTCCACCAATAATGCCATATCCTCGGGCCAGGCCCAGACTAGCAGCACCTGTGTGGGGACCCGCTGCAGGGTCCTCCTTTTCCCTCCCACTGGCAAGACGATTCTTGGTCCAGGGCGATGGTGTGTAGGCCTTACCAAAAGAAAGAGGGCAGGACAGGGCGGGAGCCTGGAGTGCTTGGCCACTCCACACTGTAGGAAGCTCTGCACCTTGTCTGGGGTGGGGATGGGCAGGGAAGGAGACACCCGTGCAGAAGCCTGAATGATGAGAAGCTGGCCCTGCAGGGGAAAAGCTTTCCAGGAAGGAAGACCAGTGTGTGCAAAGGGCCTGAGGTCAGAATAAGCACAGCATGTTCAATGTGCAGAAAAGCGAGCCCATGGCTACAGTGTGGTGCACATGAGGGAGTGAGGCAGAATAAGAGTGGGAGAGGAATTCAATCTGAGTGTACAAAACTCCTGTAAACCCAGCAGGGCCTAGATCTTTCTCAGGCCAAATTCAGGACACAGCACCTGGCATCTGGGTCCCCATATCCCGAGACTGACATGAACCCCTCTTCTCCTTTTCCCCCAGATCCTGACCTTGCAACCCAGACACAAGAAAAGCAAGTCTGTGGCAGGGCAGGTCTCACCCAGCAGTGGGGAACACTGTGGCCTACCTGCATCAGAGGCTGGCTCTGGATAGATCCTGGGGTACTCCCTTCAGGGAAGACATGAGAGGGAGATTACAGACTCACAACGGTAATCCCAGCACTTTGGGAGGCCAAGGCGGGCAGATCACCTGAGGACAGGAGTTTGAGACCAGCCTGGCCAACATGGTGAAACCCTGTCTCTACTAAAAATACAAAATTAGCCGGCCGTGGTGGTGCATGCCTGTAATCCCAGCTACTCGGGAGGCTGAGGCAGGAGAATCGCTTGAACCGGGGAGGCAGAGGTTGCAGTGAGCTGAGATCATGCCATTGCACTCCAGCCTGGGCAAAAAGAGGGGAACTCTCTCTCAAATAAATAAATTAATTACATAAAATAAAAGAGAGGGAGAAACCAAAGACTGGGGCCACCTCCCAGTCAAGTAAGTCCCTTACCAGGACTCATGAGGAAAGGCAATAGGTGTTCCTCCAAAATCACTCCGTCCTTGGCCGGGTGCAGTGGCTCATGCCTGTAATCCCAGCACTTCGGGAGGCTGAGGTGGGTGGATCATGTGAGCACAGGAGTTTGAGACCTACCTGGCCAATATGGCAAAATCCCGTCTCTAGTAAAAGTACAAAAAAAAAAAAAAAATTAGCTGGACATGGTGGCATGTGCTTGCAATCCCAGCTACTCGGGAGGCTGAGGCAGGGAGTCACTTGAACCCAGGAGGTGGAGGTTGCAGTGAGCCAAGATCATGCCACTGCACTCCAGCCTGGGCAACAGAGTGAGTGAGACTCTGTCTCAAAAACAAAAAACAAACCAAAACAAAAATCACTCCGTCCCCTGGCAATGGAGCTGTGGGAACCCACATCCCGATACAGGCTGATTAGAGGGACACCCTTGGAAAACCCATTTTTGATTATGTCCCAAAAGGAGGTCTGCCTGTCACAAGTGATTCCAAGGGAATGCCACCTGGATGAGGACTTTGTAATGTTTATTTGAAAGTTTCAGGAAAAGCACAACCAGCATATGCAATCTGTTCACTCAGCCATTCCTTAAAGTTTGTGTTGATATTTTAAGAATAAGTCCTTCTGGAGGCTGAGGTGGTTGGATCACGCAGGAGATCGAGACCATCCTGTCTAATACGGTGAAACGCCGTCTCTACTAAAAATACAAAAATCAGTCAGGCGTGGTGGCAGGCGCCTGGATTCCCAGCTACTCAGGAGGCTGAGGCAGGGGAATCGCTTGAACCCGGGAGGCAGAGGTTGCAGTGAGCCGAGATGGCACCACTGAGCCACTGCACTCCAGCCTGGGCGACAGAGCGAGACTCCATCTCAAAAAAAAAAAAAAAAAAAAAAAAAGAGTAAGTCAATGTTTGGAAAGCTGTTAAGAGAATCACAGTACAGATAGTTCACAAACATAGCCAAACCCCTGAAGAGTGGGTGAAGGAAAGAAGTTGGGGAAGACAGGGTGGGAAGGAGGAACGAGACAGGGAGAAGTTCGTGGCAGGAGTGGACCCTGCTCTGCCTGGCACGTCTGCAGGCTCGGGAGGAGCAGGCCTTGCAGAAAAAGCGGGGACTGAGCCCCACCTTCTATTTCCAGCCATTGGGCAGCAATTCAGCGGTCACCAGCGTGGGAGGAGAGGTGGTCAGGAGCTCTGACTGTCAGCCCCTGGGGCTGGCCCAGCCCTCCCTCCCTCGTCTGGTCTGTCTCAAACCGCAGAGAGGCCACCCCGAGGCTGCAGTGGCCAGGGACAGGGAGCAATGGAGACACCAAGGAATGATGGAAGAAAGCTCACCTCGCTCCTCCCACCTCCAGGCTCCAAACCGAGAGACATGGAGGCAGGCACGTACCACGGACATGCTCCGGTGAAATGCATCATTCAAATAATAACCACTTGTTTAAGGTAAAAGCCACCCAAAGCAAATTCCTACTAGACTGGACTTGTATCGCCTCCTGCAGCATCGGGCCTGCCCTCACCCTCCACAGACTTTTCCACACCCGCTGCATTTTCCGGCACTAGGTGACAGCGGTGAGGACAGTGACCCCCAGAAGGCCAAGACAGGGACAGTTGCTGGTCGTTCCCCAGGGTCTCCTCTTCTCTCCACCACCTGCTGGCATCCACGGTGGCAATTTCCTTGAATTTGATTCAGGGTTCATACAATGCAGTGCCTGCTTCGTTTCAAAGACAGGTATTCACGACAGTGAAATCGCCTTCCCATGGAGGGACAGCCTCAGGAGCAGAGGCAAGAGTGCCAGGCCCCTCCTCAGAGTGCCAAGTGAGTGGATTCCTGGAAAGTGCTTACAACTCTCCTGGACACTGAGTAGGGAGATCTTTTGTTTTTTTTTTCTTTTGAAACGGAGTCTCTGTTGCCCAGGCTGGAGTGCATGGCGCGATCTCGGCTCACTGCAACCTCTGCCTCCTGGGTTCAAGCAATTCTCATGCTTCCGCCTTCCGAGTAGCTGGGACTGCAGGCGAGCCCCACCATGCCTGGCTAATTTTTGTATTTTTGGTAGACATGGGGTTTCGCCATGTTGACCAGGCTGGTCTCAAACTCCTGAGCTCAGGTGATCCACCCGCCTCAGCCTCCCAAAGTGCAGGGATTACAAGTGTGAGCCACTGTGCTAGGCTGAGTAGGGAGATTTTAAGCAAGCCGCCATCTCCTCCATCGCCATCACCAGCCCTGTCCTGGACACCGTCGTTAAAGCTCACATCACCCTCTTGGCTTTGCCAGACTTTCTGACTGCCCTCAGATGCTCAGGCCAAATAAATAAAAAGCATGTTATGGGGCTGGGTGTGGTGGCACACACCTGTGATCTCAGGCTGAGGTGGGAGGATCACTTGAGCCCTGGAGTTTGGAATCAGTCTGAGCAATATAGCAAGATCCCATCTCTACAACAATAAAAATTAAAAAATTAGCCAGGCATGGTGGCACGTGCCTGTGGTTCCAGATACTCAGGAGGCTGAGGTGAGAAGATCGTTTGAGCCCAGGAGGTCAAGACATCAGTGAGCCGGGATTCCATTGCACTCCAGTCTGGGCAACAGAGCAAGACCCTGTCACAAAAAATAAAAAATAAAAAAATAGAAAAAAAAGACCGGGCGAGGTGGCTCATGCCTGTAATCCCAACACTTTGGGAGGCCGATGCAGGCGGATCACTTGGGGTGAGGAATTCGAGACCAGCCTGGCCAACATAGTGAAATCCTGTCTCTACTAAAAATACAAAAATTAGCCAGGTGTGGTGGCGGGTGCCTGTAATCCCAGCTACTTGGGAGGCTGAGGCAGAAGAATCGCTTGAACCTGGGAGGTGGAGGTTGCATTGAGCCAAAACCACGCCATTGCACTCCAGCCTTGGCAACAAGAGTGAAAGTCCATCTCAAAAAAAAAAAAAAGAAAAAAAATTTTTTTTAAAGCACTTCATGGTGTAGTGGGAAGGGAGTGTTAGGTTGGAAACCTCCAGTTCTGCTGTGGTGCTCATTAGCTCCATGGCCTCAGGTAAATCCCTCTCACTTTCTGGGCCTGCGATCACTATGTACAAAATGTACATGCTGGATGACATCTAAGGGACTTCCAGGGCTGACATTTTGGGACCCAATTTCCTGACAGACCTGTTCACTCCGTTTAAGTCTATATGCTCCAAACAGAAATGCTCCAAGCTTAGGCTGTGCATTTGCCTCCCTTCCTTGGGACCACACAGATAACCCCCTCCGTGCAGTTCCATACACCCAACCTCAGATTCTGGCCCCAACACACATTGCCAGAAACTCCGGATAGGTATCCTGAAAAGGTGGCTGGTCCTTGGCTTCTCCCAGAGCTAGGCTCACATGTGGACTCCAGCGTGTGCTAAACTGCAAGGCAGATTTATGCTCCAAGAACCAAGATCGAAGTGCTTTCCTGTTTGACAGAAGAGTGACTCGAATCATACCATAAACCCTGGTCTAATATTTAACCAACTTTTGCTTCCAGGTGGTCTCCCCCTTCGGGTTCCAGCCAGTTCTCCGGTAGCAGACGGCAGGATATAGAATTCTCTCAGTTCTGCACGCTCAAGTTTGCATGATGTTCTGTGAAATCAGGTGGCGGAGGAAGGGCCCAGGGGACCCAGGCACTGCCCAGGTCTGACATGGGCCCAGTATACGGTCGGCCTCCAGTAAGTCCTCACCAAATGGCTACAAAGTATTATTAGATAAGAGGCACTCAGAAAGTGCTGAAATGAATTGCAACCATTTAAGCCCCAGTACTATAGATGATGGGTTATTTTGGGCTGGGCGCAATGGCTTATGCCTGTAATCCCAGTACTTTGGAAAGCCGAGGCAGGTGGATCACCTGCGGTCAGGAGTTTGAGACCAGCCTGGCCAACATGGTGAAACCCTGTCTCTACTAAAAAAAAAAAAAATACAAAAATTAGCTGGCGTGGTCACAGGCTCCTGTAATCCCAGCTATTCAGGAGGTTGAGGCAGGGGAATTGCTCGAACCTGGGAGGCGGAGGTTACAGTGAGCCAAGATCGTGCCATAGCATTTCAGCCTGGGCAACAAGAGCAAAACTCTGTCTCAAAAAAAAAGAAAAAAAAGAAAAAGATTGGTTGGGTGGAAATGTCTCGGCACCACCCGGGTCTATTGTCCCTCCATGGGGCATGGTTTCAGCCAGTAAAAATAAACCAAGTATCTATAAGGCCACTTAGCCACTCCTGTGCCACATGAAAGCGTTGCTACATGAAACCTCCGTAGCCTGGGAGGAGCCAAAACGCATCCTCTTGGTGGCTGCTGTGAGCTGGCCCCGGGTGACCCACCATCCCGGCCTCCTGCTGCCTGGACAGCTCATTCCATCCTTCTCCACTGTCCAGGAGGGCCGAGACAGCCAGGGGCAAGAGTCACCAATGGAAGTCATGTATGGAGAAGGCTTTTGTTCATGAAAGTACCGCCAGTGCTTAGCACAGTGTCTTGGACATAGTAGGTGTGCATTGATGGAGAGACGGACCTCATATGAAGGATTTGAAAGGGTAAAATAGCAAGGAATTTAACTTCCTACATGACACAGGTCTGTAATTTTTTTAAAACCGCAAGTGGACATATTATCGTCAATGGCCAAGAAAAACATAAGAAAAAAACCCACAGACTTTCTTTCAAGTGAAAGAAATGTGTATTATTTAAATGACAGTGTCCCACCCATTTCCGCCTGTGATGCAGGGGAATGTGTTGAGACCTGTGCAACAGTTTGCCTCTGGCCTCAGCCTGTCCAGCTCCCCGTCCTCCCCACTTCCCCTTCAAGCTCCTCCGATGACCCTCAACCCCTGAAGTGCCACCGCCTCACTCTCCAGGTCACTGGTGAAAAATGGCAGAGCAGAAACTGCCAAAAAAAAATTTAATATTGACTGTAATTATGTGAAATTAACATTTGGTCTCTGATGGGATTTTACAAGGCCAGTTTTTTAAGAATCTTTTTTTTTTTTTCTTTTTCTGGAGATGGAGTCTTGCTCTATCCCCCAAGCTGGAGTGCAGTGGCACAATCTCGGCTCACTGCAACCTCTGCCTCCTGGGTTCAAGCAATTCTCCTGCCTCAGCCTCCCAAGTAGCTGGGACTACGGGCCCGTGCCACCATGCCCAGCTAATTTTTGTATTTTTAGTGGAGACAGGGTTTGCCATATTGGCCAGGCTGGCCTAGAACTCCTGACCTCAAGTGATCTGCCGGCCCTCGAAAGTGTTGGGATTATAGGCACGAGCCACCGCACCTGGCCAAGAATCATTTTTTGAGTAACATTTACCAACAAGGAAAGTGTTCACAAAATAATGTTAACAAAAGAAAATCAGAACTCCAAATTGGGTGTACCTAATGCATGCCTAATTTTATGAAAAATATTTAGATATAGAAGACAAAGAGGAGAGAGACACAAGTGTGAACCGTGACTAGGACCGTGAGTGGTTCTCCTTTCTGTCTCTGTGCTTTTTCAATATTACCCAAATCGTCTGTAATGAGTTCTGATTTTTATAATGAGGAAATTTATTTTAATTGACCAGGGGGATGTTAAGCATGTGAAAAGATGTTCAACTTCACTAAGAATAAAGAAGTGCAGGCCAGGTGTGGTGGCTCACACCTGTAATCCCAGCACTTTGGGAGGCCAAGAGATTGAGACCATCCTGACTAGCATGGTGAAACCCCATCTCTACTAAAAACACAAAAAATTAGCCAGGTGTGGTGGCGGGCACCTGTGGTCCCAGCTACTCAGGAAGCTGAGGCAGGAGAATTGCTTGAACCCGAGAGGTGGAGGCTGCAGCGAGCCGAGATCATGCCACTGCACTCCAGCCTGGGTGACAGAGTGAGACTCTGTATCCAAAAAAAAAAAATAAAGGCCAGGCGCGGTGGCTCACGCCTGTAATCCCAGCACTTTGGGAGGCCAAGACGGGTGGATCACAAGGTCATGAGATTGAGACCAACTGGCTAAAATGGTGAAACCCCGTCTCTACTAAAAATACAAAACATTAGCTGGGCATGGTGGTGAGCGCCTGTAGTCCCAGCTACTCGGGAGGCTGAGGCAGGAGAATGGCGTGAACCCGGGAGGCGGAGCTTGTAGTGAGCCAAGATCACACCACTGCACTCCAGACTGGGCAACAGAGCGAGACTCCGTCTCAAAATTAAATAAATAAATAATAAATAAATAAATAAATACATAAAAAAGAAGTGCAAAGCAAAATGAAATGTGATATAAATTTTCACCTATCACCTTGGTAGGGATCCACCCAAATATGCCAATACAATGAGTTGTCAGTTGAGTTGTCAGAGGGATGGAAAAATGGCTCCCACACCAGTAGCGGGAAAAGACTCGTGCACACTTGGCAAAATGTCTTATTATTGTGTTGCACCCTGCGGTTTTGCTCACACATACCCATAAAGGCAAATGAAAAAAGTGTTGAGGCTGGGAGCGGGGGCTCACGCCTGTAATCCCAGCAGTTTGGGAGGCCGAGGCGGACAGATCATCTGAGGTCAGGAGTTCCAGACCAGCCTGGCCAACATAGTGAAACCCCATCTCTACTAAAAATACAAAAATTAGCCAGACATGGTGGTGCACGCCTGTAGCCCCAGCTACTTGGGAGGCTGAGGCAGGAGAATTGCTTGAACTCAGGTGGCAGAGGTTGCAGTGAGCCGAGATGGCGCCACTGCACTCCAGCCTGGGCAACAGAGCGAGACTCTGTCTCAAAAAAAAAAAAAAAAAAAAAAAAAAAAGAGGTGTTGAGGCCTTCTGTTCATAACACAGAAAGAGCCCAAATGCCCATCGCAGGGGAATCGGTTAGGGAAGTTATGGGCCGTACATTCAACAGAATGGCAACATAAATGCTGGAGCGCCAATACAGTGAATGCAACTCCTCTGTGAGCCGATGGGGAACAATCTCTGTTGTCATATTAAAAAAAAAAATGGCCAGGTGCAGTGGCTCATGCCTATAATCCCAGCACTTTGGGAGGCCAAGGTGGGCGGATCATGAGGTCAGGAGATTGAGACCATCCTGGCTAACATGGTGAAACCCCGTCTCTACTAAAAATACAAAAAAATAGCCAGGCGAGGTGGCGGGCGCCTGTAGTCCCAACTACTCGGGAGGCTGAGGCAGGAGAATAGCGTGAACCCTGGCGGCAGAGCTTGCAGTGAGCCGAGATTGTGCCACTGCACTCCAGCCTGGGTGATAGAACGAGACTCCGTCTCAAAAAAAAAAAAAGCACAGTACAGACCAGCGGATAAAGGGTGATTCTATGGGGCACAACGGGAAAAGTGTGGCACGCATGTTTGTAAATGCAGAAAGTCTCTATGGGAAGATGCATGGCCACTGGCAGGAGTGTTTGCCCCTGGCCAGTAGAACTGTGTAGTGCCTGGAAGTCAGAGGTAGGAGGGAGACTGAATTTTCACTGAAGACACCTTTCTCACTTTGTAATTGTGAGTCATGACCACGTCTTACTTTTCCAAAGTTCATGGGAAATGAAATCACTGAATAAAGTAAAACAGTCAGAGAAGATCAGGAACACAGAAAACCTCGGCCCCTGAGAGTCCTCCAAGCCCCCCGTGTGCAGAAGAAGGTCTGAAAGGGCAGGCTGTGGCCAGGTGTGGCCAGGCCAGGGGCCCGAAGTACTTGCCTGAGGCAGCGCTCCACATCGGGGTCGCTCCGGCAATACTGAGGGCCTCCGTGTCTCAGGGCATCCTCGGGGTTGGCAAAGGCCTGAAATACACCAGTTGAGAGTCACTGGTAGTGAGACAAACAGCCTAGTTGACTGGGGCTGTGTTTTGTCCATGACCAGAGTTCACAGTGGCAGGACAGAGGTGCAGTTACACACACGCCCATCCAACCATCATCCACGATTCCTACCCTGTGCTGGGGGCTGGAAGCTCACCATGAAAAGGCCCCCCTGTCTCTGCTTTTATGAAGCTCACAGTTTGATAGGGGAGTTGCCTATGAACCAGGGAAGGCCAAGGTGTCTCACCTGTTAAGGAGAAGACACGGCTGGCCTTGAGAACGTATACGTGGGACCTGATCCAGTCTGAGGGTCTGAGAAGGCTTCTCTGAGGCAGTGACGTGAAAGCTGAGGCTTAGGGCTGGATGAGGTGGCTCACACCAGTAATCCCAGCACTTTGGGAGGCCAATGCAGGGGGATCACTTGAGCCCAGGAGTTCAAGACCAGCCTGGCCAGCATAGCAAGACCCCATCTCTAAAGCAAGCCACTTGCAGTGGCTTATGCTTATAATCCCAGCACTTTGGGAAGCCAAGGTAGGAGGATTTCTTGAGCTTCCAGGAGTTTGAGACCAACCTGGGCAACATAGCAAGGCCAATCTCTAAAACAAACAAACAAGCTGGGTACGGTGGCTCATGTCTGTAATCTCAGCACTTTGGGAGGCTGAGGCAGGTGGATCATTTGAGCTCAGGAGTTCAAGACCAGCCTGGGCAACATGATGAAACCCCATCTCTACGAAAAATGCAAAAATTAGCTGTGTGTGGTGATACACACCTGTGGTCCCAGGTACTTGGCAGGGAGGCTGAGGCAGGAGGATTGCTTGAGCCCAGGAGGTCGAGGATACAGTGAGCCATGATCTTGCCACTGCACTCCAGCCTGGGCAACAGAGCCAGACTCTGTCTCCAAAAATAATAATAATAATCATAATAATAATAATAAAACAAACGATCTGAGGCTTGAAAGATGCATTGACACTAACCAGATGAAGGGAGGGCTGGAGGAACAACATTCAAGGCAGAAGGGAGAGCACATGCAAAGGCCCTGAGGCTGGAAGAAGTTGGGCTTGTGTGAAGAACAGAAAACCAGCACACTGGAGCACAGAGGGCAAGGGACAGGGGCCCAAGATAAAGGTACAGGGGTCATCAGGGTCCTGGCGGCACCTGAAGAATTTGGACTTTGCACTACGAGCCATGAGAGGGTCTTGAGAGCCCCAGGCTGACAACCCAGCTCCACGCTGATTAACCACAGGATCCTGAACTCTGTAAACTCAGGAGAAATCACAGCTCATGTGCCGTGTGCCGAGTGAGAAGGAGACCTGGAGAAGCCACTAGGACAATGCCCACCACAAGGAGGTGCTCAGTGAATTGTCACTTTCTCTCATTGGAAAGCAGAGACATAAAGTCACACTGAGATCATCGGAGGCCCATGACTCCTGCTCCACTGTTCCCGGCCGGCATCCAGACAGTCAAACCCCACCAGCCCCACAGCAGAGCCTGAATAGCAGCAGCAGGTTTTCTAAATTGTTCAGATGACGGCAAATCCTGTGCTTCTGACTCATGACTATCCCCAAGAGCTGGTTTGTCCTCCCTGGTGGGCCTGCCCTACCCTACCCCAGAGAAGAATGCAGCTCAGATCTTCGAGACTGGAACCTTCACACTCCAAATTCCTCTCTGCTGGCCCTTAAATCAGTGATTCACCAACACCGAAGGCCCTGTCCGTGAATCCGTGATACCTTTCAAGGGGCCTCAGCATACAGTGAGCACTGCCTTAGGAGTCCACTGCCCATCGGGTTGCTCCCCCTGGAGATACAACTCAAATACAAACCAGCCAGGCCAAAGCCAGCTGCAGTGAAGACCAGGAAGCCCCCTGCTTCCTGGTCAGTGAAGTCAGCAGCCGAGGTGCCACCTTAGCTGGGGTGGAGGCCAGCCTTTGGTTGCTCTCCCTTGAAAGCGACCTGAGGCTGCTGTGCTCACATTAATTTCAGTTACTTATAAGTCTTTTTTTTTTTTTTGAGACGGAGTCCCGCTCTGTCGCCCAGGCTGGAGTGCAGTGGCCGGATCTCAGCTCACGGCAAGCTCTGCCTCCCGGGTTCACGCCATTCTCCTGCCTCAGCCTCCCGAGTAGCTGGGACTACAGGCGCCCGCCACCTCACCCGGCTAGTTTTTTGTATTTTTTTAGTAGAGACGGGGTTTCACCGTGTTAGCCAGGACGGTCTCGATCTCCTGACCTTGTGATCTGCCCGTCTCGGCCTCCCAAAGTGCTGGGATTACAGGCTTGAGCCACCGCGCCCTGCTACTTATAAGTCTTAGGGACAAACATTGGTGGGGTGTTGCATTCTCCTGGCACTGCTGTCACGACCCCCACTTACAGATGAGGACACTGAGCTCCCAGACTTGTCCAGGTCCCCAGGCTGGTGGGTGGAGGAGCCAGGGCCTGCGACTGTCACCTCCAGCAAGTCCTTCCTGGATGACACTGAGCGCCCAGAGCAGAGATAAGCAGAGATAAGAGGAACAGCTCAGGAGCAGCCCAAGGAGTGGGGCTTTCCTTCTGCGGTCTCTGCCAATCAGGCAGAAAGGCTCTGGGACAGGTTCGCCTCCTCCCCTCCCTGAATTCACGTTAAAAGGAAATCACGGCTGGGCACAGTGGCTCACACCTGTAACCCCAGAACTCTGGGAGGCCAAGATGGGATGATCACTTGAGCCTAAGAGTTTGAGACCAGCCTGGGCAACATGGCAAAACCCCATCTCTACCAAAAACATAAAAAATTAGGCACGGCGACACACACCTCCCAGCTCCTTGGGAGGCTGAAATGGGAGGATCACCTGAGCCTGGGAAGTCGAGGCTACAGTGAGCTATGATTGCACCATTGCATTCCATCCTGGGCCACAGAGCAAGACCCTGTCTCTAAAATAAATAGATAATAATTAAAAAAACAAAAAAAAGGAATCATTGGCCTGCTGTTAAGAACCCAAGCCCCCCCTCGCTGTATCCAATTGAGGATACATCAAATAGAAAAAACCTTTACTAAAATACAAAAAAGGCTGGCCTGTTAGTATCAGAGTGACAAATGGCCCGGAGCTGCATGACAGATCGGCCATGCCTCAGCTGGCCACGTAGACTCCCAAAAAAAAAAAAAAACCCAAGCCTCGGCCAGGTGTGGTGGCTCACGCCTGTAATTCCAGCACTTTGGGAAGCCGAGGTGGGTGGATCCCCTGAGGTCGGGAGTTCAAGACCAGCCTGGCCAACATGGTGAAATCCCATCTCTACTAAAAATACAAAAATTAGCCCGGCGTGGTGGTGCGTGTCTGTAATGCCAGCTACTGGGGAGGCTGAGGCAGTAGAATTGCTTGAACCCAGGAGGTGGAGGTTGCAGTGAGCAGAGATCACACCACTGCACTCCAGCCTGGACAGCAGAAAAAAAAAAAAACAAAAAAGGAATCCCAGCCTCCAAGACAGGATGTGGGCTCTGAAGCTGGACACTGGAGTTCAAACGGGGCTGTGTGACCTTCACAAGTGGTGTCTCCTCTCTGAGCCCAGGTACCTCACCTAGAAAATGGGATGACTGTGGCGCCTCCCCTGCTCCCCGGGGCTGTGGCGGGGATCTCATGCTCAGCTCCAGGCCACATTCGGTCCTCTGGGAAGGATTCAATGAGTGAATGCAGCTGTTCTGCTCGATGCACAGATCCCATATCCCAGGACCCAGCCAAGGAGGGAGAAGTCAGAAGCCATCAGCGTGCTGTAGCCTCCAGGCATCCTATCACTTGGGCAGCTGCCTTGCCTTTAATCCTGCCTGTACCTGCAGCAGGGCCTGAGCCTGGCTCATGGCCAAGATCCTCACTCCCCAGGATCCACCCGCATGCAGTGCCAGAGCCAGCCTCGCATTGCCTTTGAACTGGACCCAGGGGAGGACAGAGGCAGTTTCAGGAAAAGATTGCTCTATGAAAATACCTGGGGCGGAAGCCACAGGTACCTGGGGTCTTTCTGCATTCTGCTGCCAGGACAGCCAACAAGATCAGCCTACGACTTTGCAGACTCGCCGTCCAGTGTGACGGACGCTGCTGGAACTTGCCCCGGCCCAGCTCTGGGACTCGTTAATGTTGTTTTGGTTCAGGGGCTCAGATTAGTGGGGAAATTCCTCCCTGAGCACCCCGGTGGTGCCCGGCTGGAGCTGGCCTCTGGAGGTTGCAGTGGGCTTGTTAGTGACATTTGCCGAGAGTTGGGAATTTCCACTTAAACATTTCTCGGACTCCTGTTTTGCCGGTTCCCACTCCACCCAGATATCAGACCTCCCGTGCCGGGAAGCCACCAGGTTAGACAGAGGCTTTGTGCTGTCACGCTCCTACACTCCACCCTCCAAAACCTGCTTCTCACAGACACTCGCTGGCTGTCTCCGTGCCAAGGACTCAGCCCGGTGGCACGGCAAGCGAGTAAGGGCTCTTAAGCCAGAGAGGAGAAGGTGCAGGCCTTGCTGACAAGCGGGGCTGGCAGGGAGCCACTCGGTGGGGCTGCAAGAGGTGCCCAGCTCCCAGCCCTGCACACACCTTGGCCACATTTCCCTATCCCGGGGCTTTCCTAACAGGACATGGAGAGAAGCAAGTACAACCCAGGCTGGGGACTCCCAGGGAGGCACGTACCTTCTTCCGCAGCCTCACTTGGCCCGTGATGATGGCCACCACGTACATCTTGATGACCAGCAGGGTGCTGCAGAGCAGGAAGGCCGGGAGGGCCGGGCTGCTCATCGCCAGGCTGTGGGCAGGCATCTCTGGCCAGCGCAGCTCAACTGTGGGTGTGATCAGCTCGACGGAGGAGCAGCCTTCGGGGAAAGCACAAAGGGGGCGGGGAGAGCCTTTCTGCGGCCAGCGCCGCCCACGCCCCGCCCCACGGCCGCGGCAGCAGGGTCCCCTTCTCCTGTGAAGAGAAAGAAAGCAGCCCCTGGAGCTCCAAGAAGCAGAGTCTCGTGGTGTCCCGGACCCCGTCCCTGGCTCTGGATCTCTCTTCCCTGGCAAATCTTCAAACACTTTCAAATCTGTTTCAAAGCTGTTTCCTTATCTGTAGTGTGGGAGCATGTGGTGGTGCCTGCCTTCTAGGGAATGACGAGGCCGGGCACCTGGCGGGACCTCTGCACGTAGTAAGTATTGCTGCCTCCTGTCCACCTCCACAGGGTCAGGGTAGGTAGTGGGCATGAGGACCATGCCATGCGCCCCCACGCTCAGCCTGGACACTGGAGCTGCAGCCACAAGGACATGACTTTGCCATCTGTGGCAGGCTGAAGGATGCCCTCCACCCCCAAAGACATCCATGTCCCAATCCCTAGAACCCATGACTGTGACTATGTGGCAAAAGAGACTTTTCACAAGTAAGGATCTTGAGATGGGAGAGATTATCCTAATTTATCTGGGTGAGCCCAGTGTAATCAGAGGGGCCCTTCCAAGAGGGAGGCAGTAGAATTAGAGAAAAGATATAAAAACAGATGCAGAATTAAGAGAGGAGATGAAAGGACAGAGCAGGAGTCAGACGGGAGAGATGCTACCCTGCTGGCCTTGAAGATGAAGGAGAGATCACGGTCCAGGAAATACCAGGGGCCTTTAGAAACTGGAAAAGGGGACGAAACAAACTCTCCCCTGAGCCTCCAGACAGAACGCAGCCCTCCCGACACTTTGATTTTTGCCCTGTGAGACCCACTTCAGGCTTCGTCCACCAGAACTGTCAGAGAATGAAGTTGTGTTGTTTTAAGCCACTACGTCTGTGGTAATTTGCTATAGCAGGGATGGGGAACCAGCACGTGGCTCCACTGACTTCCTGAGCATCACTTGACTATTCTAGGACTCTTTTCCCAGGCGCATGCTTTGATTCTTCATCACAAGATCTCCCCAAAAGACCCATCAACGGACTCTTCAGTAGAAAGTGTCACTGGGCCAGGTGTGGTGGCTCACACCTGTCATCCCAGCCGGGCAGATTGCTTGAACTCAGGAGCTTGAGACCAACCTGGGCAACATAGGGAGACTCTGTCTCTACAAAAAAAAAATTTTAAATTAGCTGGGTGTGGTGGTGCTAGCCTGTAGTCCCAGCTACTCAGGAGGCTGAAGTGGGAGGATCACCTGAACCCAGGAGGCTGAGGCTGCAGTGAGCCGTGATCTCGCCACTGCACTCTAGCCTGGGTGACAGAGCAAGGCCCTGTCTCAAAAAAAGAAAGCAAGCATCAACGTTTGTTTCCTAAGATTCTTTGAATCCCTCACCTCAAAATCCTCACCTTGGCCAGATGGCTCACACCTGTAATCCCAGCAGTTTGGGAGGCTGAGGGGGGGGTGGATTACCTGAGGTCAGAAGTTCGAGACCAACCTGGCCAACATGGTGAAACCCCCTCTCTACTAAAAATACAAAAATTAGCCAGGCGTGGTGGCACGCACCTGTAATCCCAGCTACTTGGGAGGCTGAGGCTGGAGAATCGCTTCAACCTGGGAGGTGGAGGTTGCAGTGAGCCAAGATTGCACCACTGCACTCCAGCCTGGGCGACTGACCGAGACTCCGTCTCACTGAACCAGACTGGACACGATCCAAGTCAGATCAACATGAACCCTCTACAAAAAAAAAATAGCCCCCCCCTGTATCCAGCTACTGGAGCTGAGCAGAATGCACCTGGAGGGAGTGCAGTGGCGATCGCCCACTGCACTCCAGCCTGGGCGACTGACCGAGACTCCGTCTCAAAAAAAAATCCTCACCTTCCTGCAGCCTGTCACCTTCTCCGGGTTCTGGCAGGACCTCCACAAGGGCAGGGATTTTTTTTTTTTTTTTTTTTGAGATAGACTCCTGGTCTGTCACTGAGGCTGGAGTACGATGGTGCAATCTTGGCTCACTGCAACCTCTACCTCCCAGGTTCAATCAGTTCTCCTGCCTCTGCCTCCCAAGTAGCTAGGACTACAGGTGCGCCACCACGCCTAGCTAATTTTTGTATTTTTAGTAGAGACGGAGTTTCACCATGTTGGCCAAGATGGTCTCAATCTCTTGACCTTGTGATCCACCCGCCTCGGCCTCCCAAAGTGCTGGGATTACACCACTGCACCTGGCCAAGGGCAGGGATCTTGTACAAATTTCTTGCTCACTTATTTTTGCCAACACGTTTGGCTTTGCTGTGAGGTGCCCTAGGGAAGTGGGGCAAAGGGGAAAGAGAAAAACCGGTCTCCTATGCCTACTCCACTCTTGGGCTTGACCAGGTGCTTTGGGAAAGCACCTGCCCAGAGGGACAGCTGTGTCAGTCTAACCTATGCCCCAAAGCAGCAGAGACCAAAGGGAAGATTTGCCAGAGACAGATTTAGCCACTTCCAATCCCAAAGCCAGCCCTCGCCTGTAGTTGTGTGGCCTCGGGCAGGCAGCTTCCCTCTCTGAACCAGTTTCTTCAGCTGTAAAATGCCTAAGTCACTCCCCAGTGCAGTTGTGGGAGCTAAATAATTATTAAACCCCTGGAACACGGTAGGCCCTCCATTCAGTACCAGCCTCTGAGCTTCCGTTTCCTCCTGCTTAAAGGGAATAATGATCCCTACCTAGCAGGGCTGTCAGGAGGAAGACTCATAGAAAACCCTGCCCTTGCTGCTGGGGGAGGCGGGTGGGAGCAAGGTGGGAGTGGCGCCTTGCCCATTTGCTGTGTGCCAAGCAGTCCTTTATCCGAACAAAAGATGTGCTTGATAAACTGACTCCTGTGGGGAGCTGCCAGGCCAGGCTGTCCCGGCCCCACAAGATAAATGATAGGTCACCATACCGTCAGGGACAGAACATGGAAAGTACGGGATGTCCTGAGACACGTTTTATCTCTGGTTGTCGGAGGAGCTGTGCAAGCTCGCTTCTGGCTGATATTTCTGTCAGAGAAGAGAGAATGCCTGCCTCTCTTGCCCCCAGCCCGTGGGAACCCCTGCAGGCAGCTACCTTCCTTGTCAAAAAGCTCAGTTTTGAGGTTGGGGTCTGGTGGCTGTACCACCCCCCAGAATCGTGGACCAGACCCAGCCCAGGAGGGGCCCTTTGGTTGTCCTCCTTAGACTAGGGAGAGTGGCTCTTCCCTGACTGGTCTTCTGAAATAACAAGATAGAGGCCGGGCGCGGTGGCTCAAGCCTATAATCCCAGCACTTTGGGAGACCGAGACGGGCGGATCACGAGGTCAGGAGATTGAGACCATCCTGGCTAACATGGTGAAACCCCGTCTCTACTAAAAAAAAAATACAAAAAAAACTAGCCGGGCGTGGTGGCGGGCACCTGTAGTCCCAGCTACTTGGGAGGCTGAGGCAGGAGAATGGCGTAAACCCGGGAGGCAGAGCTTGCAGTGAACTGAGATCCGGCCACCGCACTCCAGCCTGGGTGACAGAGGGAGACTGTCTCAAAAAAAAAAAAAAGAAAGAACAAGATAGAAAGCAGAGGCTGGGAAAACCAGCTTAGGGCAAAGAACAGACAATCACTTCCTGCTACCCTGAGCCAAAAATAAGAGAGACTGTGTGGGGGAATTTGTACGACTGATGGACGTGATCTCAAGATAGGAATCTTCTCCTCACTGTCTGCTGAAACGGACCCGCTAAGCCAGGGCCTGCCAAGGAGGACAAAATCTCTGATCTTTCACCAAGAATCTCCCTGAAGCTGCCCTTGGCCAATGGAAGCTGCTGTGGTGGCTGCTGGGGGTGACAGTGATGGTGGTGTCACTTCTCTCTGAGCTTCCATTTCTTTGCCTGTAAGACGGGCTTGGTGTCCCCTGCCTTGCAGAGGGTGGGGGACAGGAGATGGTGTGTGCACGGTGCTGGGGGCTGAGGGACACTCTCTGTGGCCTGGTCCTGAGGCCCACGGGAACTACAGCAGTGTGCTCACAGCAATGAGGACAAGAGAAGCCCCTGGAAATATTTTATATCTTGTCCTGGGTGGTGATTACCCATATGTCAAAAGTCATGAGATGGGCTGGGCCCGGTGGCTCATGCCTGTAATCCCAGTACTTTGCAAGGCTGAGGCAGGCGGATCACTTGAGGTCAGGAGTTTGAGAACAGCCTTGCCAACACAGTGAAACCCTGTCTCTACTAAAAATACAAAAATTAGCTGGGCGTGGTGGCGTGTGCCTATAATCCCAGCTACTCAAGAGGCTGAGGCAGGAAAATCACTTGAACCTGGGAGGCGGAGGTTGCACTGAGCCAGGACTGCACCACTGCACTCCAGCCCGGACGACAGAGCAAGACTCTGTCTCAAAAAGAGAAAAAAAAAATCACTGAATGTATCTTCAAACCTTTTTACTTTACTATATATTTTTTGAGCCATGAAAGTGAAAGTTGTTCCTATCCCCACTCGAAACCCTGAGCAGAGGCGCTGCTCAGAGGCACTGCTCTGTTGAAAGCCATCCTGTGACTTAGTCCATCGCCCTCCTTGGCATTTCCTGAGGATCAGAAACTAAGCTCTTCACGCTGGCTGATTGTCCCTAACATCAGAGGAGGCTTAGAGAGAGGAGGAAGTGGCCCCACCTTGGCTGCTGGTTCCTGACCTTTGGGAGTATTGCTAGGCTTTCTGTAGCCAGTGATGGGGAAATAAATACACAGTGATTTTTATTTTTTTTTATTTTATTTTTTTTGAGACAGAGTTTCGCTCTTGTTGCCCAGGCTGGAGTGCAGTAGCCTGATCTCGGCTCACGGAAAACTCCGCCTCCTGGGTTCAAGTGATTCTCCTGCCTCAGCCTCCAGAGTAGCTGGGATTACAGGCACGCGCCACCACGCCCAGCTAATTTTTGTATTTTTAGTAGAGATGGGGTTTCACCATGTTGGTCAGGCTGGT